CTGGTGACCGGCCTCCAGCTGGATTTAGCTCTGTTTACCACCACTCTTTGGGCCCGGCCATCCAGCCAGTTTTTAACCCAAAGGAGAGTGTGCCTATCCAGGCCAGCAGTTACCAGTTTCTCCACCAGAACACTATGAGAAACTGTATCAAAGGCTTTTCTGAGGTCAAGGAAAACTACATCCACAGCCCTTCCCTCGTCAACCAGGCGGGTCACCCTGTCATAGAAGGTGATCAGGTTTGATTGGCAAGACCTGCCTTTCATAAACCCATGTTGACTGATCACCCGGTTAACCTGTATGTGCTCATTAATAGCGCTCAAGATAACCTGTTCCATGACTTTGCCCATCACCGAGGTCAAACTGACAGGCCTGTAGTTCCCCGGATCCTCCTTCCACCCTTTTTTGTAAATGGGGGTAACATCCGCCAGCCTCCAGTCCAGCGGAACTTCCCCAGTGAGCCAAGACTGCCCAAAGATAAAGGACAGGGATTTGGCAATGACATCCACCAGCTCTCTCAGGACCCTCGGGTGGATACCATCAGGCCCCATAGACTTGTGGGCATCCAGCTGGCGAAGTACCTGGTGTTACCCTGGAACAGACGGAAAGCTAGAAATACCGTACTTTGCCTCACCAATGTTATAAGCCAGTGTATAAACAGCTGGTGGAGTAGGTCTGTTTCCTCTGCCACCACTCCCAATAACCCAGAAATATTTGTTTCTTATTCAACTGCACCCATTGTGATACAGATTGGAAGAAAAGGTTCCATAAAACACAAAGGAAATCACAAATATGACAATACAGATTAGAAGAGAAAGCCTTCTTCCCATTAACTATTAATAAAAGTCTCCACATTACTATTTATGTGAATAAGGAATGCATAAGAAAAGCATTTCATTTAAAGGTGCCATGAGAAACAGGGCAGGTAAAACTCTACTTTAACCACTCTATACCCCCTCTGCAAGCACCACCGAAAAATGACTTGCGAAATGAAATGTATTCTTTTACTGCTCTACATATTTAGGGCCATGCAAAAGCACAATAAAAATATACTTCATGATCAGACCTACACACAAGATGTTAAAAAGTACACTAACTTTTACTAAATGTTACAATCAATGATGTAACTTATGTAAGTAGGGTTGCTTTGTCATATATTGATAGTTACCTCACTTTCACATCCACATTAACTTGATTTTAAATGCAATTAATACATATAGTCAAGGAAGACTAATGGACTACATTCTGCACTTAACCTGGTGGACATTTTCAAATGGCACAAGTGACCAGTGCAAACCTATTTTGCATTGTAAACGACTAAATAAATCTTAATGGATTAAGAATGATCAGCTATCAACACACAAGGGAAATTAAGTGCTGAAATGCCTACATTGATTATTTTAAATTATTAGCCTTACTCTGTTCTTGAATTTGTATGCTTTTAGTGAGCTTTAACACATTTACAAGACTTATTGACTATAATTACAAGAGAATTCAAGTAATGGACACATCAATTATAAGCAACATGTCTTGACCAGACAGTTGCATAAAGAATTCTAAAGAGAGCTCCATTAGCATCCTCCCCCTTAGTTTTATTCCGTTTTATCTGCCGTAAGAGGGCATATTAAGGGCTTATACAGCTGTTCTGACCATGTGAACACGAGCGTCCCTCCAAAGACTTAACACTGCATTCAAAGTTGGATATTAGCTGAAGCAATACAGATAACTACGTTATTGACAGGACAGAAGTAATGCTGAAAGTATTGAGTACGTGAGTTATTGATACACATGAATGCAGCAGTTATAGTAAAATATTTTGAAAGGTTTGAAATACAATGTCCGCATTCCCCAAGATTAATTTTAAACTTTGTTGTCCAGTCATGCCCTTGTCTTTTCATAAAAGCCTTGCAAAACTATTTTAGGATTATGTCAGGAATAACCATTCTTTTATGTTTCTTTTTTTCTTACCTTTTTGTTCTCTTCCTTGTAACCATGCACTAAGTTTCAAATACTGCATGAATTTAAACTATAGCTTCCATAATAAGCCATTATTTAAAAGTACAGTAAAATAAACCTTACAGTTTTAATGAAAATATGTTCATTGAAATGTGAATTTATTATTCAAATCCACTCATAAATTCAACCATGGAGACACCACTTGTCTAAGCAGAGCTCAGTGATTTAGAAAAGCTGTCTATTTAAAATAAAGAATGTATGGCAGGTTTATAGAAACATCGCACTGAATTTTTACATAAATTTAGAACTGCAGCTTATGCATTTTTCTACAAAAATGTTTTTAAAGTTTCCACTTAAAATTAAACATAAAAATGAATTGAAAGTGTGATCAGCACAGAAACTAAATCAGATGCTACACCCCTGTGTATCACATCACCATTACACACTACCTTCCAAAAAGGCTGACCAGTTCCAATTCCCATAACTTATTTCTACAAAAACCTCTTGCTCCTTCTTATTTTTATTTATTTAGGTATGATGTAATATCAAATGTCTATCCTGAAGCATTATGTAATGCTGAAAGTGTAACCGAATAGAAATTAAATAAACAATTTGGATACTAAACACCTGCGAGGAAGTTAGTTAGAAAGAAAAGCTAATTGTTCTCTCAGACCACATTACATAAATTTAAGAACCAATTAATAGTTACAACTTAGATTAAGGGGAATTAAATATCTCTGTATGAAACAAAAAGCAGAAGGGTGACTGCGCTTAAAACATTCTTATATTTTTTGCCCTTTGACCACTGTATTTTCATACCCCTTTAAGTAATTTTTAATTTCATTGGGGGCTCATCAGGCAATATGCATGCCAGTTCCTAAGAAATGTTAAAGGGATCATCAAGCAGAAAAAGATCAATGGTCTAATTCACCGTGTTTAAAAGAGACCACTTGCAAAGAGAGCGTTTCCATACCTGTATGGGTACGGATGTGAGCTAAGAAGGCCATGGAATTGCTACTTCTACACATCTTCCCACAATACTTGCAGACATTGCCTTGGTTCTCTTCCCTCTCCCTGTTTATTTGCTCAGTGTCTTCCACAATGTACTTATTCACCTCCCGCAACAGCTCTTCATGTTGCTCTTTGATGTGGAGGAACAAGCTCTGCTCCGAATCGAAGGGCTCCGTGCACTTCACACACTTAAAGGTGGCACCTCCTTCGGGCAGCTCCTCCACGCTTGCCTGCTCATTTCGCATGTGCCCGGCACTGGCCAAGTGCTGGTGAAGGTTGCTCTCTGTGTAAAATGATTTTCCACAGAGTAAACAATGAAAATGTTTTTCTTTTGAAGGATGTTTCATGGCTATGTGAACATTTAGTCCGCTCAAACCATCTGCTAGAAAACCACAGTCATCGCAGCGAATACGTGTCGATTCCCCAAAGGAAATTCCTTCTGACTTCTTCTTTTTCCCACCGCTTGGTGAAGAGTCTGCTTTCACTGTGAGCTCGCTAGCTTTCACACCACCTGACATCTGTCCTTCAGCAGCATGGTCAGTGGCCTCCCCATCTTGATGGCTTTTTAACCTCACTATAGAAGAATCAAACTTGCCAAAATTTTGCATTGCCTTTCCTTTATCATCAGCACTGATAACTGTTCCTAAAGCCTCATTACTACTTTCTTGCATGCCCTCAGCTGTTGAGCCATCTGCCTCCCAAACATTGTTATTTATAGTTCCTTCTGCTTCACGTTGTGCTTCCATAAGGGCTTCTTCCTCTTCCCCAGTAGGATCCTCTTTGAAACTTCTGTCACCCTCTAAACTATGTATATTTTGTACGGTTTCTCCAATGTTTCCAGCGAAATTGGGTTGCTCTACTGCACTACTTGTTTCTGGAAGTGTCAGCATAAGCGGGTTATTTTGTTTCAGTGATATTTTTTTAACAATGTCTGTGTTTCTACACTCCACTTCAGGATTTTCTCTGTTTGCTTCCAAGATTTCCTCACCTTTTCCTGAATTCGGGTTTGTGCTGCTTGATCTATTTTGATTTGCTGAAGTGCAATCATCACCTGAGTTGAGCAGCTCCTGACCATGCCTACTTTTCTTTAACTCACAGGTACCTGTTTCTTTCACTGATGCTTCCTTGTCAAGTTTAACAACTTTATCTTTCTGAGGAGTTTGCTGGAATCCTTCACAAAACGGGTTTTCTTCTCCATTTTCAGACTCCTCTTCAAGTTCACCTTCTACTGCATTTTGGGAACTGCCACCTTGAAGCATTCCTGGAGATGCGTTTTCATCTAAGACAGCACAGTCAGTTAAGCTTTTACTCATATGATCATCTTCTGCTGCATCATTGGCACATTCTCTTTCACCTACAGCAGTTTCCAGTTCTCCTGCACTGTGATGGTGTTCCTCTTGAGACAAAGCAGTGCCACCTTTAGCGATATTTGCTGTGTTTGCATCCTCCCCAGACGAAGAATAAACGTAAGATTCTCTTCTAATTTTATGTTTCTCTGTTGCTGCATGCCTAATCATCTCTCTGCGAGTAACGGCATAGTAGTCACAAGCCATGCAGTAGTATTCAAATTGTTTTGTGTGTTTTCGCTTCACATGCAGGTCTAAAGAAGAAGAAGAATGAGCAATGAAGCTGCAGTGCATGCACTTGTTGTCGTTTGCACCCATTGCTCTTCTCTGGAAGCATGGCTGACCATCTTGAGTAACCCTTGCCGGTTCCAGAAATACACGTTGGTTTATATTTAATGGACTGCTAGTAAGCTCCAAATCTGGCAGCCTACTGGCATTTACAACCTTTAGCTCAGCATCTCCTTGCTCAACTTCCTGATTGTCTAAGACAGAATTTTCCAAATCTGATGACGGGCTACCATCCTCCACATGTTCATACAAGGCAGTCATGGGGCTGTTAACCTTCTTGCTCATGGATTCAAAATTACCTCCTTCAGGGCTAACGATGATCTCTGACTTTTGTTTTCCACATCCCTCTATTTCAACACGACTTTTGTGTTTTTTGGTTGCACAGTGGCGTTCCATATCTCCTTTGGTTACAGTGTAATAATTGCAAACCTTACACAAGTAGCTGTACTGATGACTGTGCTTTCGTCTGATGTGAACAGTCAAATTTGTAACACTGGAGGCCAAAAGACCACAATGGGTACATGTCCTAGATATAGTGCCTTTGGGTTTCCCTCTTTTGTGTGCATTAGCTAAAACCAATTCGTTTTCACCAATCCTTCGATCAAATGGAATGAATTCCTTGTTTTTCGATATGTTTTCCACAGAAGAGGATGAAACATGTATAATTTCTTTATCTAACTCTGTGTTCCCACTCCCAGAAATGGAAGGATCTACCACTGTTTTAATACCACCAACACCAACACAAACTTTTTCAATACATTCTTCAAAACGTAGTCCAATATTGTTTTTCCTGGCATTGTCAAGGTGCTTGCTTCTTTTGATATGCTTCTCCATTCCTTCCTTACTCAGTGAGTAGAGGTTACATGCTTTGCAAAGGAAGTGATACTCCTGTGCATGCCGGAGTTTTATGTGCCTTGTAAGAACCGTGGAAGATCTTGTCTTATAAAAACACTTTTTACATTGAAATTGGGTTTTATTCAGAACAGAATGCTTTAGTTCATTTCTATGATTTATGAAGGAAGAGTCTGGAGTTTTTGCTTTCATTGATACTTCCATTTCCTTTGCAAGATTTTGGCTATTGTTTGATACTGAGTCAGCATAATTTACCACGTGGAAGGTCCGATCACTGTTACTCAATGGAGTTGCTTGCTGAAATAATGAATCATCATGCTTCTCATTTTTTTGATGATTTATCAGCTCTTCTTCCATTTGAAAAAAAAGAATGCAAGTTGGACAATTATGGGACATATTATGCACTTCACTCATATGGCTTTGAAGGCTGACCACATTCGAGCTGGTAAATGAACAGATTTGACAATTAAAGCTACAACCACCCATCTGGTGGTTACTGTCCTGACAGTGTTGCTTCATGTCTTCCCTGACTCCAGAGGAATAACTACACATCTCGCAATGAAACTGGATCCTTTTTGTATGAAGCTTTGCAACATGACTTTCCAAACTTTTTCTGTTCTGAGAAACATGACTGCAATCAATGCAAGCATCATCAGCAGTAAGTTTAACATCAGAACTTTTAGTATCTGTACTGCTGGAAGAAAGATTATTTGGTTTATCTTCAGTGAGATCTTGAATTTCTGAAGTAGTATTACAATTACTTTTAGCATCTTTCTCTAATTCGGTATGTGACATAGGGCTTGAATCACTAGGTTTAAGCTGTGTGCTGGAGATATGCTTCATGTGTACTCTCCGAGTTTCAGACTTGCCTCTCTTACTGTTACCCAACAAACTGTACCTTCTTTTAACCTGCCTTTTTAATCTACAAGATCTACTCTGTCCAAATAAAGACCTTAACAAGACAATGTTTCTTTTATGTTCTGATCTATCAGATCTCCTCGTCATGTTTAAACTGCCAACTAGCTTTTTGGTAGTTGGCTGGAGTTCTCTTTTCTGCAAGACATTTGCTGAGGGTCCTGGTATTTCTAGTTTTTCAGTATGGACTTCATCATTTCCTTCTACAGCAGAAGAAGACAACATTTCTTCTGTCATAGTATCTGTTTTTTCAGTGGGAATATCTGAAGACGGTATCATTTCAACAAGTTCGGTGCCATCATTTTGTTTAGACAAGCTTACTTTTGAGCCTTTCAGTGCACTACAAACACTTAATTCTTTTGCATCAGCAGCTCTTGCCCTTAATTTACTGGTTCCAGGTTTTGCTCTGACATTCCTCTCTTTGGTTGCAGCAGATTGTTGTTTTTTAAAGGATTTTTTTGTCAATATCTGTACAAATCCTCCCCGTGCAGCAAGATTCTGGCATCGAAGGTGCGTCTTACCAAGGAAATGAGAATTTAGGAGGTTTTCATCAGCAGTCTGAAAACCACAAAGATCACAACAAAATATCTTGGATTTCTCATGATCTTGCTTAACAGGCATGTGTAATGTTGAACTACATTCAGCTGTGCAACTACAGTGGGAGCATGTTTGCTCTCTGGATTGTTTAGAGGGGCATTCTCGTTTATGTTCTTCCATATCAGAGCAGGAAGGTAAACAGTGATCACTCATTTTCCCTTCAAGATCTCTGTCTATGTTTCCAACTGTACAGCCAACACTGATTTCTTCTGAAGAAGATAACTTATCAGGAGCAGCAGTTGGCACCTCTTGTGAATGTTTATTTTCCTTGTGAATATTCAATATGGCACCATCAGCACATTTGAAATCACGATGCAGGCACGGGAAATTTGAATTAAATATGTCATCACCAAGACAACTGGCGACTCCTTCCTTCTTTACAGCTCCAGCTACTATGCTACCTGCTTCTCCAGCTACGACTTTGTGCAATTTCTTTTCACTATCTTTCATGTCTTCTGAAGAACTCCGCTTTCTTTTTCTGGAGACATTTTCAGGTTTGTCTGCTTCAACAACATCCAGCTTTGGTGATCCTGACAGCGCTCTTTTGTTTGTGCCGTTCTCTTTTCTTTTCTTTTCAATGTCCCTAAACATTTCATCTGAGATAAGCCTTTTTTTCTGCTGAGACGAAGAGTCACATCCAGCATTTTCTCCTGATGTATTTCTATGGGATTCTTCTGTCAACTCAGTTGGTAAACTCTCATCAACGTCATCTCTCTTCTTATTTTCCTCCCCATCCATTCTTAACATTGATATTATCAATTGTAGATCATTTGGCTTATACCTATAAAACAAAAGAGTTATTATTAGTCTTTTATGCACAACCAAAAGTTAGAAGACTGAAGTCAAAAAAAAGCAATATAACAAATTAAAATCATGGCAGGAAGACAGACACTATGAAAGACACAAGGTTACATTTTCAGCATGGTGTCTAAACTTAAGACATCTAAAAATCAAATTAACTTCTAGGCACTTGGTTACAGAGCTCTCACTGCGATGAGCACCGTGTGAGTGAGCACTAGCTTCAATAATTCTTGTGTAATCAAGTAATTTGCTACATGCTTAAACTTGGGCAGACAAGCCTAACCTTTGTTTCTGGAAGCATTTTTAGGACACAAACCACGAACAGTTTTCAGGGAACCAGCCACAGGATGTTCAACTTTTCCTCAACTAGAAATTCGGGCTCCCAAATTTAAAAGCTCTGAGGAGGAAATGACCATGACTGCAACAACACTCAAAACAAAGCCAACATAAACATTAAACATCGTAAGTATGAAGCTTTCTCTCCTTCCTCTGCTTAGATTACCCGCTAAAGAGAAAGAGGGAAAACAAAAATAGAGCCTGTTCTAAAAGAATATGCTGCAAGTATAGTTACCCAACATTCCTAAAATATCCTCTAAAACTTCATTTCCCAATTGAGGGGAGAGGAGAGG